TATATATATATATATATATATATATATATAAATGCACACACCCAACCCATTAGCTGATTGCCAGAGGGAGAAAGAGAAAGGCAAGTTGTAGAACTAAGGGCAGCAGGATCAGTTTCCAAGAGCTACAAAGCACAGGCAAGATGAAATCAGTTTCCAAGATCCCCAGGCAAGGTGAATTTGGATCCATCAGGCAATCTGAATTGCACAGGAAATGAATTTTTACCAGCAGCTTCCTCAAGCTCCCTATATTTCTGATGCTACATTGATAGCCAGAAATTCATAGCCTAAAACTGGCAAGAGAAGATACTCACCAGGCCCCACCACAGGGCATCTGCATAGGTGTCAAAGTGATCATTTTCTCCTTTCTCCGCCAGGTATACCAGGAAGGAGGCTAAAATTAGGCACAGGAATCCAATATACCAGGCAGTGATGAGCTCCTGCAAGGCAGTGAAAGTGGAAAATGTAGAATTGATAGCTCTGGAATGTTTCGCTACACATTTCTCTTTATTTGGCCATTGACTTCAGTGGAGGAAAAAGTATTACAGCGATAGTGATGCCGTGAGATAGAAGGGAGGGACACGTATGAATGTACTGGATTCTAAGCAGATTTCAGAGGCATCAGGACAGATTCAAATGAGCAAGTAAAAGAAGAAAGATTAGCTTCGCCCACCGCACCAGGGCTTAGCAAGTCATAATTGCTAAGCTCACCCAACACAACCAGAATGAAACAAAGTGCATTATGATGAGTGAATGCAGGCACAGATTACAAGCAAATAACATGAAAATGGGCTTAGCACGTAAACAGGTCTCCAGCAATAAATGACAGTCAAATGACCTAAAAATAGATGACATGATTAAAGGAGAGTTAATGGCAATTCAGCCGGTTGAGTGACCAGGGCATTGCAGGGACTGGATGCCAGTTAGAGAACAGTTGTGACAATAGACAGAGAGCAGAAAGCTTAATTGGGGAGAAACGGATCTCTGTGCATGTGGCGCCATGCTTCAGTAGACAGGAAGACAAAGGCAATCATTACACATCCTGCTTTCTCCCTCCAAAGTCTGTTTATCATGCCCAAATGTGCACATCTTTTTCACCCCAAATGTGCACACTTTAACTCTCCTGAAGAGGAGAGGAGAGGAGAGGAGAGGAGAGGAGAGGAGAGGAGAGGAGAGGAGAGGAGA